TTTACAAAAAAAAATTTAAAGAGTGAATACAAAAATGCAAATGTTTCAGGATAGCAGTTCATGTTAATATTTTAAAATGTAATTCCTGCCCAGTTTCAGCCATGAATACCAGTTAAAATAAAAAATAAAAAAGAAAGCAACTATTCTACAGGCAGCATGCTTGCAGTTTTTCTACACACATGTGTGCAAACAGTACAGCACTGTGCTAGATGAAAATTTAACATAATGTATTATTTAGCTTTCTGTGGAACGTAAAATATTATTAAGCATTTTAAATGACATGTAATTATTTTCATCAAAATTTACTTGCGCTATAATTCACTAATTCACTTTCATATTTGGTATGAAAAGGGAGTGGAAAGACCATTTGCAGAAAGAGGAGGGGTTAAGCCGTCCCAAGGTGGAGCTCTCTCTTGTGTTAAATGACACTGGCAGATTAAAGCTCTCTGATGGGGAAGGGCTTAAGGCTGAGTCAAAAGCCAAGAAGTCTCTTTATTTACGCCTACCTCCCAGCCCTTGGCAATCTGACTAATAACAAACTGAGCTAACAAGAAAGACTAGAAAGGGAGGAAAGAGAACCCTGCTGCAGCTCGGATCTACAACCTAAGAAAGCAAGAGTGATCAGTCCCAGCTCTGTGAAACATCTTGTTTATTTACTGCATTCGGCAGTTTGCAAATGGTTAACTATATGCAAAAAAGTCAGCGTAGCTGTGAAGTATGCCGTGAATTTTAATTGGGGGAAAAAAGGACAACTGCTTCAGGATGATTTAGTATGCACTCTGTTTGAAATATTGTCAATGAAATGCTCAGCATTTTGGCTCTGACTAGAGGTTTTCACTTTATAAAGTGATGAGACTCGCCAAAAAGTGATATTTAAGAAGAAAGTAAGCGGTGGTTAGTGTTTTCTTTTTTAATAAAGAAAGTGAATTTACTTTGAACATCTCTTCCAGCTGTGCATTACAGATAACGTCAGTAAGAGTCTCTGCTTTACAGGTAAGATGAATGTTTCCAGACTTTTTTGTTCCCTATTTTTGCATTATCCTAAAGTGGTTGAATGTATGTTTGTCCTCAAAAAAATAACTTTGCATTAAAGGCTATCCAGTTTCATTCTTGCTCATTGGCACAACTAATACTGTAGCAGATGCCTGTTTTCTCTGAGCAGCAGACATTTAGTCCAACAGCTGGCTGTGGAGAAAAACAAATAAAATAATATGCCAATATATCTTTTACAGCATGCAGTTTGTTACTGGAAACTAAATATGTGTGCTTTTTGAAACAAGATAACTTTAAAATGCCACTGTTGAATTTAAAACATAAGCAGAATATTAAAAGATTCTTTATATTTTGTATACTACTTTTATTAATTCCTGACTTAAAAATATGTATATTCTAAAAATATGTAAGTGGAGATTTTTACCTCTTTAACATTGTATCAAAATGATCAATACAGAACCACTCTTCACATCTGTATGTATTTCAAAAAAAACATTAGAAATTATTTCCTAGGGCATTTTGGAAAGCCTAAAATGCATGTAAGATTTTTTTAAAAAAATCATAAAAGGTAATCATCTGGAAGTTATTTACTATTTTCTCAAGATGCTGTGCCTGGTGAAACCAATAACATTCTTTCTTCGTAATCTATGGAGAAGCACTTTTAATGTTTGTAGAAGCTAATCCACAAGTTGAGGCTCCAGCTACAAGCTTCTTGATTCTAAGCACAGTACTCAGAGCTGTTTAAAATCAAACTATTTCCCTATGGAAATGTCGACTCGGCTAACTTTTTTCCTTTGTATAAAGAGGCACTATATTGTTTTATTTCTTTGATTACCTTTTACCTTTCAATGTATTTCATGAAATAAAGTTTATTTTCAGAATTATTCTGGGGTGTTTTATCTGATTGTGAATTTTAAATAGATTCAAAGTTACTATTTACATTCCATTTAGAAAAATCTCAAAAAGTTGAATAATTACAAGATATGGTGTTTGTTTACTTTTTGATTTAGTTGATATGAATTTAAATATGATTCTTAAAGAAAAATAATTAGATACCATTACAGTTATGCATTTACCTTGTCGCTGTCACTTCAGACTTAGAATCTTTTTAAATTTGCTATCTCAGACATATGTCTTAAAGTTTTAAGGCGCTGAAATATGTGATGTTATCCTGTTATTTTTTTATTTCGCAAATTAGAGATATCCTCAAATATTTTAGTATAGTGCAGTTTGTTTCAGAATTCATTATTTGTGACTTTAAGCCTTATAATAAAGGAGATCAACTGCTTAATTATGTGATGACGGTCAATGCCCTAAAGCCTATTTCAAGACCTCATTAGAAAGTCATTTGCTAGAATTTTACAGGAGGCACTCTTTATTCTTCTAATAGCCAAAAATGTGTGTTAAAGATCAGTTTGTCTTCTTTAGTTTTTATGATATTAACTTTATTCATAACAGAATTTAAAAGTAGCAGGAAATATTCTACCTCTAGAAAGTCAATATAAAATGTGACTCAAGTGAAATTTGAATGGGCACTCTTAATTATATGTAGCTAATACTATTAGGCTTATACGAAGTTCCTTAGGAAGCATAGTTAAAACGAAATTCTTTTTATAGTGTTCCACTTTATTAAGTGGTCAGAGATGTATTTTCCTCAAGAATTTTAATAAAAAATTAAATTTATAAGTATCTTGAGCCTAATCCAAAGCAGGTTAAAGCACAAACACAATTATTAGATATTATATTGTGAGATCAAGTTCAAAAATATAAATAAGGAAATAAATACTGCATGCATGCATACATTTTTTTCCTAGCTGTCATTTTTACATTCCCTACAGTTCTCTCTGCTTCTGGCTAATACCTACATATTCATCTTTTACTTTAATCCTTCAATCTTAGATTCATCTACTTTGTGGTTTAAAAATATCAGGGTCTTTTCAAATATATACCTTTGCATCATACCAAAGTTTCAATCGTCCATTTAGCCAATACCTCTCTCATCTATTAAAAATGCAGTTTATTTGGCAGATGTGAACACAACTGATGATATAATATTTTAAATTCTCCTTGACCTAAATTTTATAATTTGGTCACAGTGCAAGTTAAAATAAATATGCCTGTCATGGAATTAGAAAAAATAAAAGACAATGTAGATGCAGCAAAGTGTTTGTATTTTCAGAGTAATCAATATTTTTCTTTTTAGAGGAAAACCTATCATTTTGAAAACATCAGACTCATCTCCTCCCTGCTTCTGTCCACTAAAGCCCATTGCTATTGCATTTTATTTTACAGAATCAGATTCTATCACATGACAACATGAAGCTGTGGATTCATCTCTTATATTCATCTCTCCTTGCCTGTATATCTTCACAATCCTCATCTCCAGTGTCCTCAGCCGGAGGTTCTTGTGATTCTCTTTGCAATTGTGAGGAAAAAGACGGCATGATGCTAATAAATTGTGAAGAAAAAGGTATCAAGACATTATCCCAAATAACTGTGCCACCATCACGACCTATCCACTTAAGTTTATTAAATAATGACTTAACAATGCTTCACACGAATGACTTTTCTGGGCTTACCAACGCTATCGCAATACACCTCGGATTTAACAATATTGCAGATATTGAGACTGGTGCATTTAATGGCCTTGGCCTTCTTAAGCAACTTCATATCAATCACAATTCTTTAGAAATCCTTAAAGAGGATACCTTCCATGGACTGGAAAACCTGGAATTTCTACAAGCAGATAATAATTTTATTACTGTGATTGAACCAAGTGCCTTTAGCAAGCTCAACAGACTTAAAGTGTTAATTTTAAATGACAATGCTATTGAGAGTCTTCCTCCAAACATATTTCGATTTGTTCCTTTAACCCATCTAGATCTCCGTGGAAATCAGTTGCAAACATTGCCTTATGTTGGTTTTTTAGAACACATTGGCCGAATATTGGATCTCCAGTTGGAGGACAATAAATGGGCCTGCAATTGTGATTTACTACAGCTAAAAATATGGTTGGAAAACATGCCTCCACAGTCTATAATTGGTGAAGTTGTATGTAACAGCCCTCCAGTTTTCAAAGGAAGTATACTAAGCCGACTGAAAAAGGAATCAATTTGCCCCACTCCACCATTGTATGAAGAACATGAGGATCCTTCAGGATCATTACATCTGGCAGTAACATCTTCAATAAGTGATAGTCGCATGTCAATCAAGACCACATCCCTTTTAAAAACACCCACCAGAGTTCCGGGTTTGATACCTTATATTACAAAACCATCCACTCAACTTCCGGAACCCTACTGTCCTATTCCTTGTAACTGCAAAGTGTTATCCCCATCAGGACTTCTAATATACTGTCAAGAACGCAATATTGAAAGCTTATCAGATTTAAAACCTCCTCCACAAAATCCTAGAAAGCTTATTCTAGCGGGGAATATTATTCATACATTATTGAAGTCTGATCTAGTGGAATACTTCACTTTGGAAATGCTTCACTTGGGAAATAATCATATCGAGGTTCTTGAAGAAGGATCATTTATGAATTTAACAAGATTACAGAAGCTCTATCTAAATGGTAATCATCTGACCAAATTAAGTAGAGGCATGTTCCTTGGTCTCCACAATCTTGAATACTTATATCTTGAATATAATGCAGTTAAGGAAATACTACCAGGAACCTTTAACCCAATGCCTAAACTTAAAGTCCTCTATTTAAATAACAATCTCTTACAAGTTTTACCACCACATATTTTTTCAGGGATTCCCCTAACAAGGATAAACCTTAAAACAAACCAGTTTAGTCATCTACCTGTAAGCAACATCTTGGATCACCTTGATTTACTGACCCAGATTGACCTTGAGGACAATCCCTGGGATTGCTCCTGTGACCTGGTTGGATTGCAGCAATGGATACAAAAATTAAGTAAGGACACAGTGACAGATGACATCCTCTGCACTTCTCCAGAGCACCTAGACAAAAAGGAATTAAAAGCACTAAATAGTGAACTTCTTTGCCCAGGTTTGGTCAATAACCCATCCCTGCCAACTCATACTAGTTACATAATTGTCAGTACTCCTACAACCTCAACTACAGCTGATACTATTTTAAGATCACTTACTGATGCTGTACCACTATCTGTTTTAATATTAGGACTGCTGATTGTGTTCATAACTATTGTGTTCTGCGCTGCAGGAATAGTGGTTCTTGTTCTCCACCGCAGGAGAAGATACAAGAAGAAGCAAGCAGATGAGCAGATGAGAGACAACAGTCCCGTGCATCTTCAATATAGTATGTATGGCCATAAAACAACTCACCACACTACTGAAAGGCCCACTGCATCACTCTATGAGCAGCACATGGTAAGCCCCATGGTTCATGTCTATAGAAGTCCATCCTTTGGCCCAAAGCATTTGGAAGAAGAAGAAGAAAGAAATGAGAAAGAGGGAAGTGATGCAAAACACCTCCAAAGAAGTCTTTTAGAACGGGAAAATCATTCGCCACTCACAGGATCAAATATGAAGTACAAAACCACAGACCAAATGACTGAATTTTTATCTTTCCAAGATGCCAGTTCATTATATAGAAACATTTTAGAGAAAGAAAGAGAGCTTCAGGAACTGGGAATCACAGAATACCTAAAGAAAAACATTGCTCAACTCCAGCCTGATATGGAGGTACACTATCCAGGAGGCCACGAAGAGTTAAAATTAATGGAGACATTAATGTACTCAAGACCAAGGAAGGTGTTAGTGGAACAGACTAAAAATGAGTATTTTGAACTTAAAGCTAACTTACACGCTGAGCCTGACTACTTAGAAGTCCTGGAACAGCAAACATAGATGAAGAGTTTGAGGGCTTTTGCAGAAACGCTGTGATTCTGTCTTAAGTCTAAAATTTATAAATAAGTGCCTTACATGAGTGTGTCATCAACCAGAATTTAAGCACAGCAGTATTCTCATGGGGAAAAAATAAATAAAAGAAAAAGAAACTCAGGGATCACTGGGAGAAGCCATTGCATTGTCTTTAGGTAATTTTGTATGTTCCCAATAAAATAAATCCTTGCATGTAAATCATTCAAGGATGATAGTAATATTACTCTAAATGTTTAAAAGTGTTTCACAGAAGTTCTCTTGCACATCTAAAAGGGTTGAATATTTAAGCAACCCTAATTTTCTTGAATTACTTTACCTGTGGATTAAATAGAATTGGATTTTGTCATTTAAAAATTATAACTGTATATATAGTATTAATATATAAGAAATATATTGTTTATATAACCAATATATGTACTACAAAAAATATACATTGTCAAATACACCTAATTTTCTTGCTATAAAGGCAAAGGAACTGGACCTTTAAAATTATCTATAGTAAGAAAAAAAATCAGAGGTTGAATTATACAGGCTAACAGTGGCCCGAACTTTGAACATTTGAGGATCAAAAAATAATACCACTGCTATGCTTTCTGAATTTAAAAATAAGAATGATTAATATTTCTGGTGGAATAAATAAGCAAAATTTGGGGGTTTTCTGCACATTTTGTGTGGACAATCTTATTGTTGATGCTGCTGTGAACTAAGGTATGTCATTTGTGCTTCAAGTTCATTTCTTATTCTTAAGATATTTGTAAAATGCTACTGATATTCAACTGTAAATATGATTAGTGCATCCATTAAGTTTGATTTCTTTCATAACATTAATTCTTTGTAAATTTGAATGACCAAAATAGAAATATGTTTCTTGTGGCAAGTAATTCATAGGTGTAAAACAAATAGAAAAATTATTATTTTATTTTTATTGATGTGTACTGATAGTTGCCATAAATTAGTAGCAAAGGCATGTCTGAAGGTAAGTGATTTCAGTTGCCTCAAGAGTGGCACAATGTAGCTTTATTTTATAAGAAAGATAGCTAGATTTCTATGAACTATTTATTCTGTACAGTTTTGTATATTTTTGGTTCACAAAGTTAATTATTCTTGGGTGCCTTTCAAGAAAATTAAAAATACTGCTCACTACAATAAAACTAAAATAAAAGCCCTCTTTTTAAATGTACTTTCTTCGATTAGTCTGATCTGTAATTCAACCAAGTCAGGATTAACACATGCACACATTCACACACACAAATGCAAAATAGGATCTCTGTCTGTTGTCACCCACACAGAATCATCTTGTTCACCATGTGCAAAAAGGCTATTTAATGTCTGGATATGATTGACACAGAGCCAGACTTAAAGTCTGAGCAGTAGTTCTCCCTTTCCAGCAAACTATTTTCCCACTCAATACAAAAGGAAATGACTTATTTTTCTTCTTTCTGATTATACAATGAATCATGCAACAAATTTTTACGAAGAAAAATGGGGTTAATCAAGTTAATCTAGTTTTGTGTTTTGAACATCATGCAGATCCATGCACAGGGTTAGGAAGAAACATATTTTCTATTAGGAAGAATTTTCTTCACTACTAGAAAAACATATATTATTTCGTTTTGAATTAGAAGCCTTCTTGTTGATGAAAACAGTAGGAGCCTGTGCTGCATGGTATGAGGACTATGAGTCTTATAAAATCATATTACTAAGGTTTTCCTTTAAATCATTGAATATATTAATAGAAAAAATCAAGAATTATGTATTAAAATGTTTGACATAAACCTAAATTTCTCCATTAGCTTCCAAGGTTGGAATAAACAAAGGTGAGGTTTATTTTTGTAACACTGAGAATCTGTGTGCACATGAGTGTTTTATGTATTTACCTAGAAAAAAAAAAAAAAAAAAAAAAATTCAGCATCGTAAGGAATAGTAAACCTTTCAAAACATGATTTTGAAAGTTACATTCTGAAGGGAAAAATAAAGCAAGAGCAGAATTTATGTTATTGCATATCTCCTATTCAGTTAGAGTATCCGCCAATATTTTCTGATTCCAATCAAGTATATAAATGTATTAGAAAGACTTAAGCAATCTCCATGCCTGGAGGACCCTTGGAAGAGCTCCATGAATGCAGATATAGACATGTCCACAAGAACATTCTTCTCTTTTGAGTAAGGGGTGGGGGAAATATATATATATATAATCTTTATTCATTATTATTGCTTGAAGTAGTAATGTTCATTCTTCAACTTATAATTAAGACAGAACAAAGTTTAGAAATTCATGTAAAGATATCCCCAAAGTTAAATACAACCCCAAGATTAAAAGTCTGTGGGAAAGAGGATATAACTTATAATGATATAGAAATCATTATGGTTTCCAAAGGACATGAGATTTTAAAGACTTAGATGTTTCATTCATGATTGATCTTCCGTATGAGATTTGGTTCTCTACCAGTAGTTGAGAGTTGAGAAAGCCAGTGATGGTTTTTAATTCTTATTTAGCCTTGTAAGGCCTGTGATAATCATTCAGAAATGTGGTTATTTTGTCTGCATTTCCTATTTGTTCTTCTTTCCACTAAAGATTATTTTTATTATATTCCTGTTTCATTATCTACTTAAGCTGTCAATGTAGTCACTTATTCAACTAATTGATAGATTTAGAGTTTCAAGTCCTAATTCAGTGTCCTCCATCTTTTTCACATACCTAGGCATCCTAAAAATAAATTACACTTGTGATTACCCTACTTTTTTCTTGATTTAAACAGAAGTTATTCTTTTTTCTTTGCACATCAGTACAAGTTCTCATTTATGTCTTAATCTTGAATTTTTACTACATAGTCATACAAGTATATAATCATACTGGATCACATTTTTAAAATTCAGTCAATCTGTTAGACATAGATTGTAGTAATCTTTATTTAGCAAATAAGTTTTCACTAAATTACCATGAAAACACCTACTGTAAATTTATAAAGTGTTCTTCAGATCTCTTCCATTGATTTCCATTCTGGAATACAAATTTTACAATCTTATAAAAAAAATTATATCAGTGATGCTGGCTCTACCTCTTGAATTGAGGATAGAAAGCATTGGCTCACTGCTCCAATATCAAGTAAATTGAAGCAACACGTAATTGCCCTTTGTGCTATCTTGATGCTTTAACCCAATTAATTTAAAAGACTTTAACTTTGACCCAGGATTGAAAAATGTGATTTAAGAATCTCCTTGTCATTAAAATTAAACTTTTTAAATGATGGTTTATAGCCTCTCATATATATTTGGATAACTCCCAAATATATGTATTTGAAAAGTAATAAAGATAAGATGGATAACTAGATAGATAGTTTCAATATACACATAATTTATTTTGTATTATTTTTTTTTTCTGTTAAGACAAAAGAAATACTATTAACTTGCAGAATTTGGTAATAAACTGTTTTTATAATAGAAACAAACACAAATAAATATCCAAAATAAAAGCTCCCCAAAGTTTACCATATGTAAGACTTACTACTAAATTATCATTGGAGACTGCTCTCCACAAAAAAGTTATCCATGTGCATAAAAATGCTGACTACATGAGCAGAGAAGTTTAAATCTGCCAGTAATTGAGAAATGGTTTTACAGTGAAACTGAGGATTCTTCTCTATTTCTTTTCCTTGAACACTTATAATATAGACAGGAATGGCTGTAGTTTTCTTCTTGAGAAGATAGGATATCATAAAAGACACACTTTTCTGATAGGAAAAGAGACAATTAGCAGTCTTTCTCAGGAGGAGTAAGCCTATATCTGAATAGATATATCAAGAATAATCGTTTTAATAATAAATGAACAAGTGACCAAAAATACAGTATTCCTTTTTGCTTTTTCAATTCCATACACTCTGAAACATAGATATTTGCCCAAATATTCCCAGAGGCTTAAAATCATAACAATTTCTTAAATAAAAATAAGATGTAATGGTTGTTTAGCATTGAATTATAAAACTATTATTTTATTAAAATTATATTGTTAACAAATTTCTGCCCTATATAAATAAACACCATTATCTGTTTTATAAAACACAAGTGTTATGTATATATTATATATTGCAATACATAAAATATATAAATTATATATAAATATACCTTAAATTATATATAATATATAAATATACATTCAAATGCTAGTTTGTGGAATGTTATCCAAATCTTATAGCTTATAAGTGAAGGAAACAACAACCCTAAAACTTTACATGATAGCACTAGTGATGAGCTATGAATCTGAAAGATTTTTTGTAAATGATTATTAATAAAAATTTCTATCAACTGTGTAAGAAGATTAAATTATTAATTTTTAAGATGAATTTACATTTATTACATATATCTGTTCTTATGCATATTTAACATAGAGGAGACTGCCAGATGTAGAATCTTCTTCTAGCTCCTTTGAAAGTGTAATCAAATAGACAAATACTCTTCTGTTAGTAAATGTCTTTCAGCAGATTAGTGAATGAAGAATGGAAACAATTCAAAACAACAAAATTCACACACACACATACAAACATTCATGTATTTCCAATTAAAATGATTTAAAATTGTACACTTTTTAAATAGATTACTTTTGTTTTAGAATTTAAATAAATAAAAAGCAGATCTGACTTTTAATGAATAATTAATTATTTGCCTCATATCTTTTAGGTTCTACCAGTGACAAAATTGTTTATCTGTGAATGACTAAGATATTTTTAATTACCAGTTTTGTGTAAAATCTCTGGGCATTTAATTGTCATGTCATCATATTTGGTGTTATGGAGGTGTTGAACGGATGCTACATACAAAATGCATCATTTTGTTACCAAAAAACTCACTCAACCTTAAATTCATGGTGTTAACAGTGATGAAATCACCATTAGTGAATGCATGTTAAGTGTATTCCCATCTCTTCACTTAGTGTTATAAGCAATCCAATGACATATAAGGCCCCATTACTATCATTTTATGATTCATACTCTCATAGGTTAATACAGTAATACATGGTAGAATAAGAAAGTTAACAATAGAGTTCAGAAGATCTTCTTGATTCTAGAAGAATAAGATCAGTTTAAATGCTACATACAGTTTCATCAATTAAGACTTTCATAGACATATTTCGTACCTCTTTGTAGCATTCTGAAGTACTTTGGTTTACAAAATATATATTTAAAGAAGACATTGTATTATGGTGCAGCAAACACAATTCCTAGATATCAGCATGTTATAAACTCCTAGAGTTTATCTAGTCTAATTTTCTCCTTTTTTTGCCTTACATTATATAACTGGTAAGGGTAACAAAGGCAGAATTGGAACCCTATTTTGTTGTTGTTTTATTTTGTTTTTATTTTGTTTTATTTTGTTTGGTTTTATTCTCCTTGTTTTATTCTTCACCAGACTTTTTGTCATAACCATGAATATTTACAGGTCATATGGAATCACGGAAAAAATTGTATGTCTTGCTGTTACATATGCTTTGGTTCTATGTTTAGGTAGGATACTCTGATTATAACATTTTTAAAAGAAAAATTGAACATTAGAGTTACTTTAGACCCTTTAGATACAACTAGAAAAATGCTAAATGACTTAGTGGATCTGACAACATATGTATGTGGGAGGTGGAAGCACGTGTACAACTTTTTTCAAACACAATTTATTTAAGAATTTAACTTCTATTTCATAGAATCAAGCAATCACAGAGAAAATACAGTATTGATATTGTATTGCATTGACTTCAAACTTTTTGTACAATCTGTAATTTAAGCATTGTTAGAATTATATATATAGATTGTGGTATCAGATATTTTTATTATTCATTTTTTTAAGATCTCTACCTGAAGTTATGTTATCATCACGGTATTGCTGTAAGTTAAAATAAAGGTCATTATTTCAGTGAATATATCATTTTAATCCTAAAAAAAAAGGTGTTATAAAATGAGAGACTTTTTTCTTTTTAAATAAACTTTATTTTTAGAACAATTTTAGGTTCACAGCAAAATTTCCCAGAAGATATAGAGTTCCCATATACCTGCTGGCCCTATAGGAGTCTAGCCACCTCCACTATCAAAGTCCCCGACCAGAGTGGTACAATTATTACAATTGATGAACTTCTATTAATATATTTTATCATCCTAAGTGGATAGTTTACATTAGGATTCAC